CTTTTTTGCACGTTATACGCAGATTGGTTGCTTATTCAGGGGGTGAAGTAAGACGTACATACACACTCTTGCATTTATAACAAGAAAAATGGAGAGTTCGTCCACTATCTATATTAAATAATGTTAATCAAGAGTTGTACAAGTGTGCGCAGTTAATAGCACTAAAATCACACGTTCTCGTACACATTCACTGCGTTATCCAGCCATTTAAGCGTCCCCCTGGGGGTGATTCGGCCCTGGAGGTCAGTTTTTCGGCCATTACCGCGATCAGAGGGTTGAGAATTAGACGCTCGTAAAGGTGGCGTGTAATGACTCACTCAGGGACAAGCGGAGTCGCGGCGAACACTATGTTTAATGTTTATTGCCTTTGATAATAGTTGCTAAGGTTAAGCTTTTCTTGGCCATAAATTTTGCGTTAGGATTTAGCTACCGTTTGTTTGTAAACTATATATAACGCCAAAATGTAGTTAAGGTTCGTAAAGCTTTTAAAAAGTGTCAACAAAGTTGTCAAATTAATTAAAATTCAATCATTAAACGTCTAGTGATTATAAACGCACTTTGCCAAATACCCGCAATATAAGCGCGCACAAAAACTCGAGTAATGAGCCATAATTTGTAAGACAAATCATTCTAACCGAAATAACAGGTCCCGGAATAAAATTACACGTTAGTGCCAACTGTCAAAAACGCGATCACGCCCTTATATAAATTAATAAATCAAGTCTCCGTTAGTGACAAAACGCATCAAAATCACCGGTCACAAATCGTCAGGGGCCAACATCGTAAATCAACTTACATTCTTAGCGAGATAAAAAAATTAACCAAACACCCTGAGACCGTCTACCTGCGCGTATCTTTAGAATTTCTTGTATTAAAAATAAAATTTTTCGAACGCCAAGCAAAAAATGCAAGAAAAACCTCTTTCGTGCTCGCTGTCTCGCTCCAGCCGAATTTCTGTCCTTGTATCTTGGATTTAGAATTTGGTCTGCGATGCCTCTTGAAGGTTTACTTTTTTTATAGGGTTTTTGAATACAGCCTCGTTATATGCCACTGTAATAGTTCTAAATTTGAAACACTGTGCGTCTTTACCTTGTTCGTGGGGGTATTTCTAGTTTAAAAATAAGTTTCTCTTACAGCGCATTGAGGTAAACACATTTTTGGCAGTAAATAAACTTTTTTGCCAGATTAAAACTTTTTATATCACTTATTCTGTCATTTAACTAAATCTAAAATACTTCTTACAAACCATCTTGGAACTCTACACTTACTTCAACTAACCTTGCTCGAACCACTTTGCTGTTCTATACGTCATTCTTAAGTTCGAGTTGCCCACTCGTCCATCCTATTTACCAGAGGCAGAAATGCCCTAAGTCAGTGAACATGTGCAGTGTAGAATAACATTTTTTGTGCGTACGCTTCATTACTTGATCCGGCCCCAATCCGAAACGGGTTTCGAAGCACACCGTTGCATATTTTCGATGTTACGACCACTAAAATATTTATGAATTCCACTTATGAATAGTTTTCTATAATTTACATATTTATGGCAGGGACGGGCAAACAAAAGATCCGATTTGGTATAAACTTTACAGAAAGGCTACACTAAATTTACGATCTTTTGCTTTACAAGTGTTTACAGTTACAGTACAGTTAAAAATGTATACGTAGGTCGCTGTAAAGAAAAATCTATACAGAGCAAAAGCTATGTTTCAATCAACAGGGTCACAATACCCATTTTAACCGACTACTAGTTTTATAGCTCGAGAGAGATTATTAAAGCGATATGCAAATCAATAAACGATTAAGTACACTTAACAATGGACTCTATTCGGTGTCCGTTAAGTATGCATTTCGGCAAACATAATAATAAAAGCTATTATCTTAAGTAACCTGTAATCGAACGCATCGAAATCGTTACCGAACGCGGCACCCTGTAATTTTTAATAAAAAATCTATTTATACGAGAAAATAAAGCATCGAAGGCTACCTAAGATACCCGTTGATCGATTTTGTTAAAGATTTAATGAATCAAAGTTTATTCAATTTTCGCACTTGTCTCATTGCGCTTACGATTGAAATTCATTTGCTGATTTGTGAAATTTAATGGTAAAATATTCTATAATGCGCAAAGGTCGCCTGATGTAATTTCAAGTCGCCTCCTATTTGAGTTTTTATAAGATTGACGGCAGCGTTGGGCAGGTGTTTTTTTTTTTAATTTTTGGCCCAACAAAAAGTCCAGGCTACTGAAGTAGTATCCAAATTATAGTGTTTTAATACACGGCTTTCCTGTTAGGAAAGTTTTATTTATAGGATGCGCGTGCGCCGGTTATCTCTTCTTCCGTGGCTATTACTGTCACACTAAAATATGTCCAATAGTTTTATTGTTGCCTCGTTAGGGCCTCGCTTCCTTGCAATCGTAACTAAGGTATATTTAATTTAGGACTTATGTCTTATACTCACGACTGGGTCGTAAAACTAATTAGGAAACAGACTTAATTTTTGAAACGCTACAATGGTATAGACTTGACCAACAAACGTAGGTAAAATGATCGTAAAACGGGAATAAAACCAATGTTTAAAAATTGAAAGTAAACCGATGCTTCTTGAGGCAAAACATAGTCTTAAGCCTTTCTATACAGAAATCAACTTCTTTATAATAACATTTAATGTGAGATCCATATCTGGAGCTAATTTTATTTAAAGGTTGTACCAGACACGATTCGAAATAGTACCTGGGATTAATGATTTATACTGTGTAAAAGAAGCAAAACGCTGGCACACTGCGCTTCACTCATAATACATTGTCAAAAATGACTGAGAATTTTGTATCTTCACGCATCCTTACCCGCGGAGACACAAAAGGCATTTATTCAATTAGCTTCACAATTGGCCTGAAAGTGCACAATGGGCCTAGGACCAGGTACCAGGTAGACGTCATGAATAGGGAACACGACAATTGTCGTGGAATTTTTTAAGTTCCAAGTTTTGTTTATTTTTATGGGACAATACGACCCCCGGATCGGTGTTAAATCGACGGGGGAAAGAGTTGCTTCAGTACGGATCATCGGGCTTACTACAATATTTTTAATTATTGTTGTTCAGAATTATAAGTGTCTCTTTTACGGACTCACTTCTGTATATTCATATAAATCACGAGTTTTGATTATTTGCAAACCATGCTAGCTAATTTATGAACCTAATTTCAGCAAGAGAATGATTTTGATCAACAAATTCCATGTCTAGTTTTGATGTCAACTGTTATCAATGTTATGTGAAATTGAGTCTTAAATTGGTAATCTCATAATCGAATTATTTTGTTCTCTACTAGTTCGATTGCGTGGCTAAATCTTAAAGCTTACAAAAACGACACACCTAAGTGGTATTGGCGATCGCGTGGGCATCTTATTAGCATTTAATTCGACCAAAAGTGGGGGGTTTCGGGTCGTTGAATCCCCAAATGAGGGACTTCCTCTGAGTAGGGGCGTGACCTCACGAGATTGGCTGGAGATGGGCAAAACTATTAGATGACGTCATAGGTCGTTGTTCTTGAAATTGAGATTTTAATGTATGAAAATATTTGTATGGAAACGTTTGGGGAAAGAGTGGAATATTTTGTTTAAGTCACATACTTAAAGCCGAAATTGGCTTCATCTACTTTGGAGGGGAAATCTTCATCCCACCCGGATACAAGTGGGATACTAATACTGTAAAGCAAACTCTACAATAAGGTTTTATAACGACTTCGGCGGGTTTAAGAGCAACACAGTATTAAGGATTACTTAGTAAACTATATATCGCTTTCCATCCCTGGTTTCCTTCAACATTGCATTTAAAATTCCGCTAGCGTTCACAGAAGCGTGATAGTATAGCATTTCCGGTCAGCTTAAGAAAAAAAGTTTCTCAGGTTAATTTCAAAGACTAAGCGAGCAACAGACCGGTATTCGGATTAAGTAAAAAGTTAATTGATCGCATAATAAGGTGCTGCAAAACAGTGTTACGGTAATTAAGTATAATGTCATGTATTAAGAATAATACAATAGCTGAACGGTGAACGATAATTTGTTTTTAAATAGTGCATTTATATGTGACAACGTTTATCCCATATATGAATATACTTGGATTTTGTTTATCCACAGATATTCTTTATTTTAATATCTATAGCACAGATAATGACACAGAAATATTTTTGCACATAAACAAAAGAAATCCTTTATACTGTAAATAAGAATAATGTTGACTACCGCCACTACATTAGTTTTTAGACCAGAACCGACGGCTTAACGTACTATCTTGGGATGTTATACATTTGTAAAAAAACATCCTATCTGCAGTTGCGTGTACTCACCAACAGACGAGGTAGTTACAAAACACGAAATCATAAATACGATGTTCTTCAAATAATTCAAATAAATAAAATTGTAAAGCCCGATAAATCAAAACACGCATTGTCCGCATTTCTGTGTCTGAAAGTTATAACGTGTTAATAATTATGATAATTTAAATCGTGGCAGAGTTTCGCTATGATTTGTGTTTAGCTATGATAAGATCTACGCTATAGTCTACGAGCGCAACGAAGCGACACCGACTTTGCTAATACAAGCCATTCGGGGTTTTATTATTATGTATACTGTTTTTAAATAAAACCTATTTAAGTTCCTCTGATCAAAGCAATTGGGTTGAACATTCTAACCTGAAAAGGCATTTTTTTATAGAGGAGAATGTCCTCTATTATAACATAAAGCTTGGGTTTACCTGATGGAAGGTGAGCCAGCCTTATAACATCTAAACATGATGCGCTATCCACCTACTTTAGCTTTAAACTTGGATGCTTTATCTAATATTCTGTAACACATCCACATAGGTTACAGAGTAGGTTAGAGAGACAGACACAGCCATCACTGCCAAATGCTCTCGTCTTATTAACAATATTGACATAATACGACAGTATACTATATTTTAATATGAGTCTTTCTTTAACAAACAAATTTCTTCTTTTTCAGATACGCCAAGAGAAACCTTATTACATAGCGGACCCCGAGGTCGATTCATTAGTAAGTACCCTCATTTATCGTTTCTTTACGGGCTTAGTTTAATACACCATAAACTGGTGACCAGTTTATAGTGATCAAATAATTTACGCTTTGATTGCTTAAATCTAAAATTAACTACAGGTTCGCGGCGAAAAAAAGGTATAGTTTGTCATAAAACTTCGGGCATTTTGTCCCCTGCGGCTAGGGCTGCCATTAATGTATTTATAGGTTTAATATAATTTATATAGCTAGGTATTGTGTTGTAAATCATGGGGCTTAATAGTTAAAGATCATCCTTTATGTTGCCGGTCTATATCAGCTAGGGAAACTCACCCACAAAGACTCACACTCTACCGAGTGTGAGTCTTTTACGGACCTGTGGGTCATCTTCCTCTTTTCAACCTATTGACTTCTTCCTCTTCTCTCTCATGGAAGAGCAGTTTCCCAAACAACCATCACGCTGTTCCTAAATTTGGATTTGCAATTTTAGAGGATTCTCCAACAAAGCTAAACTTGCCTCCTACTTCTAAGCATATAAATCATTTTATTAACTAGTATAAAAATTATCATTGAACATAAAAATTAAGATTAGCATATAAAAAAATACCATGCAACTCAATATTAACAGTATAATGTGTGCTGTAAGTTAAGGATCTTACTCAGCTGTGTTGTTCAGGCTGGTACTAGGATTTTTGTGACATTTCCTACCTTAGACCTTTTTTGTATGTCTTAAGTAATGCATTCCATGGAATAACTCTCTTGGTGTGTGAATTTATTTTTTTAATCTTAAAGTCTAGTAATAATCAAGGCGCCTGTAAACCCGTGGCTAGTGTCAATAAAAAATGAAGAAACACACCGACCACCCACCTTCTTGTTCGTTATGGGTACTTAACCGATTTCGGACAAATAAAATTTGAGGCATTACGAATCGGACGGTGGCCATTCACGGTGCGGATCGGTTTTTACCAAGTTATTCATACAAATAACTCTGATTCGGTCTTCGCTGGAAAATATTTATTATTTTTGTCTAATAAAAAAATTTTTTGTAAAAAACTGGTCTTTTCTTGTATTTGGTGTTAAGATCTCTTTAGTTTGTGTTTGAGGCGAAAAAAATAATCTTTCGTGGTTGGAACTTAAATACGATTTATCTGGACAAAAGATCGGATCAACCCAGTTGCATGCTACAAGATTCTTATACGTACCTTGAACACATTAAAACCAACAAGTGTCCTTAAGAAATGCACAAGAATGAAATGTCATTGATACTAACCCGACAAATATCCTAGGGCTATTGTCTACCCCAGCTGACACTTGGTCATTGTTAACGAGCCCGCTTGCAATGTGTCGGCATAATCATACATTCATACTTGCAAAATATGTCTGTAATTATGTCCTGTTTGTGTGGGATTTTTTTGTACCCGTTCATGAATTGAATACTTCCAACAGCGCGTAGAGCGCACTAACAAAAACAAATTCTACTAAGATTAAAAATATCATATTTCTAGTTTCGTGGACAAGGTAAAAGCGATATCCAATGTGGCTTTTAATTTCAATACTAAGACACATGTTTATCTCAATATCATGGTATAGAATGTTGTTAGTTAAATATCAATAGTTGTGTTTTTAAAAACTTCGTCAAAAATCCACACTCGGGTATTTATTGACCTCTGTGCCACTACAGATTAGTTACGGATGTAGGATCTCCACATTGATGAATCACAAATACTAAAATTATAAGTGTATTATGTGTAATAAATTTTAAGTGTGAGGTTAATTTATGAAGAAAGAAAATTTAATTCATAAAGTTAATATCCTAAATAAATCACTTTTACCTATAAAAACACACCAAAATAATGTCTGTTTGTGATATATCATTTAAATATAAAACAATTGTCCCACCACACCAAAATGCATGGTCACCCCAATGCCCAAACGCAGTGAAGTTGTTTGCCCACGTCACATCTGTGTTTGCTCTCGTAGCGTTTTGAGGCGTTTAACACCATCAAATATGGTTTAGCCTGAGTCAACAGTGCTTTGAATAATTAGGGAGATATTCATTTAACTGTGGATCTTGGTAATTTTTTAATAAAATTAATATGAAGTGATAAGATATTGCCCCTAATGGAGTTAGTTAAGCTTGTAACTAAAGCTATTTTATATTTCACTGCATTCTGCTTAAATTCTCTATCTGCCATAAGTGGTGAACAGATTTTTTTTAGCTCGTAAAATCGAATAAAGCGCCAACCCAAAAACCTAAAAACCAAAGTACCAGGCCAGCAGAAGCTCGTAAGAATATCAATTAAAGTCAAGTTTGTAGAGCGCCGTGGCAGAGATAAAAGTATGCTAACAAATTGTTTGCTAGGGCGCCTTCGTCAACAGAACAACTCGAGGACTTGTTTGTTGTAGCTCTTAGACATGCTACCGGTTGGGTTTTACGATCTAGTTGCTTCTTATCGCTTTGGCGTCAATTTTTTCTAACACTGTTATCTCTAGTAGAGCCTACTAAATGCGTGTCAAGAAACTGACAAAACATGAAACAGTTCTGGTTCTGATTGAAGGTTCTGATTGAAATTCGTGTTTTTGTCCCCACCACCTCCAATGTCTTTAGGAAAAAATGTCTCCCTGTGTGGTAGCTTCTCTTGAGACCACACATTTTTACTATTTAGCCAATTGCTTATTTAGCCTCCTCCTGTTAATATTTGTATACTCTGTTTCAACTAGACCACCCAATAAATACGTCCTACCGTCATATTTACAAAACTGAATAAAAGTGTTTCTTTCAAAATCATGAAACATTGTCACATGAGTTGTCAAAGACACCCAAAGATTAAACGTGTAATAACAATAATATAACGGATCCCACATAACTCACAAATAGACTTAAAAATCCACATCACGTCTCAATAATTTAATCACTAACGAATCGCAGTTGTTAGTGAGAATACATAAATCGTTCATCGATTGATTTTCATCTGTACGATACCAAGAGAATCGTAATGAGTACTGACCGAAAATTATGATATTTACCTATTATCTTTACTTAAGTACAGACAAAAAGTCACAGCTCAGACATAAATGTCTCTAAAACTTTCTGTTAACTCCTAACTACCTACCTAGCTTGGTGGTTCAAATGTTGAGTCCTTTTACAACTGAAATATCCTTCCGATTGGTCATAGGCAGTGGTTCTGAGTTCGATGTCCCCGAGAAACAATAGTTAGGGCCGAGGATTCGGATAACCTGCTTTAAATACAAACAACAGACACAGGAATGTGGCAGTTACTTGGAAAACTGTGTTTTCATACTGTTCTAAGTAAAACCTATATTCTAGTCTAGTCACATTGTACTGGCCACATCCAGACGTTATGCACATGTAGGTTTCAGACTTCTTTTGTCTTATTCTACTTTGAAATAGAACTGTAATTTCGTCCTCTTTGAATTAAGCTTTCATTGAATCATTGGTCTCTACACAAGATACAATCGCTTGGTTGTTAGGTACGTACCTAAACGCCTTTTGTCGGTTGCATTCGATCTGATACAATACAACACTTGCCCATTCACTCGTTCCATACAACACTAGGTGTTCGTATTAATTAACTGGTATAGCTTTTATATACTTAGTAATAATAAAAATTAAAATAGCATTATTTGATTAAATAAAACACTTTAACGGTTTAAAACGCGATATATTAGTTAAACTTATTTGGAAATGATTTTTAACTTCAGTTCGGATGCTTTGCAGCAGCCGTGGTCACGGGGTCACAATATATCGCGTTTTAAATCGTTAAAGTGTTTTATTTAAATGTGTACTACTCGCGTAAACTATAGACAGTATTTAGCATTATTTGTTTAAGTATGCCTACCAAATTACTAATACCTATGTTTTCTTCTACAGATGGTGCAAGCAATACAAGTCCTACGGTTTCACCTCTTAGAATTAGAAAAAGTAAGTGTCTTTTTATATAAAAAGGGAATACATTATGGAACCGGTTTTGATCACCTGACAATATATCGATTATCCAGTCGCATCGATCGAATCGAGATAACGTATCGATTTCGTCTTTCGTGCGACCGCTTCGAAATTTAAAATTAGTTAACTTTTAGTTCGGACTGTTACTATTGCGTCTTTAAATCGTTATTTGATTCGTCTAATCGTTAACTTAACACCATGATATTTTGACATACACCTATTTAGTATTGTCTGTAGCTTACACGAGTACACATTTAAAAAATACTTAGTAACTAGCTTTTACGCCATAACATAACCACATCGGTCATAGTAAAAAAATAACCAATATATTTCCCGTTGTGTACAATCTGCGAACGAGTCGAAAAATTGCCACATTTGAAAATTAATTATAATAAAATAACGGTAAATAAATTACAAGATCAATCACAACACTATTCGCATGTCTATGTTAATTTGATTTATTTCACAGATATTTTTAATTAATACAATCACCTTGGGCAAATGAGCTATCGCGTTAGTTTCGAAGAATTTTATGACATATTTTAATAAAAAATCTTCCTAGAACGCAAAGTTTAACTTTGATTAATAATAAATATGTTTTTCGTAGCACAATTGTCCTGATTAAGTAGGTACTTACTTAGTTACTTTAGTGACACGAGTTTTGCTTTAATCAAATTAACATTTATATACCTAATAATAGTAATGGCTTGTTTTCGCGACCAAATAAATACATAAATATTATTATTCTGTCAGTTGTGACTACAGACACATAGATTATGTATGTCTTGACAAATCACTTGTTCGATTTTTAATTTTTAAAATAACTATATATTAAATAAACCGTTACAATAAGTGTAATTGCATACGACTCAAAGCACTCCCGCGCTCGATATTTAGAATTTGGAACGCGGCTATTTTATTTTTTTAATAGCTTTTATCTCGCCCTCCAGCCAGATTCAGATCGGGTTACACTCGTTATACCGCATTGTATGCCCACTTTTTTTACTAATAATACCGTTTCCGTATGACTGTACATCTATAGTCAATAATATCTACGAAGATGTGGAGATGTGAAATCTATTAATTATTTTATCAAACATTTATTTCTCCCTTCTCTTACTGGCCTATAAACAATTACAAAAAATAGGTATACATAGTGTTAAACGTAAGACAGACATACTATACAACAAAATAAACTAATTATATTAAGTAGGTATGGTTTTAAATCACTCATATGAAAAACACGTTATATAACGTTAAATATAATACATTTATTATTACAAAGACCGCGAAGTGTTAAATGAAACGGAAATGAATTCATCTAACGGAACTTTTTTTCTTTTAAACAAAAACTAAAGACGAAATATAATGCGGACGTATCTACCTATATGGGAGCAAGCAAAAAATTGTTTTTGTGGTTCGCATTAGAACCACGAATTAATAGGTATTATATCTAGTTTTGTTTCGTGTATGTTTTTTGATGTATCAATCTTGGATACCTTATGTATATTTATTTTTTTACATGAAATGCTTATGACACTAGAGTTATTGCTTAAAAAACACCAATAACATGATTAAAGTACATATATCTAATTCTTTACTAGCAAAACCCAAACAAAAACTCACTTAACATTCACGTTTGCGCCACAGCAAGAATTATCCCTACATTATAATACCCAATAACATTTTTGATTTATGTTCGAAATTCGAAATTTAAAAGATGGCCGCCGGCGGTCCTGGCGCAGTCGATCTGATTGGTCTACGCTACACTTTTATGTACACGATTGTACCCTAATTTACGTTATATAATTCACGTGTAATTTGTCCCTATCTTTTTGGACAAATTGATTATTCAAATGACTATTATAGTAGGTCTACTTATGAATACTGTCGCAAACAATAAAAATAAGTAATTTTTATATCTACCTAGGTATATAAGGTCTTGTTTTGCTTAGAAAAAATCTAGTCACTTACTAATCCAATAAGAATTAAATTTAGACTTTAATTTACAAAACATTCTTTAATTTGTCGAATAAGCAGTTCTCATTAAAAACAAGCCTTGCTCTTTTTATGTTACCTACTCATAAACGTTATCTGTTACAACGTGGCTAAGTGATTTACGATGTAGGTCAGATTTGTTAGTTTACGGGCTCCGAACCCGGGACCCTCTTTATGACGCAACTATAACTTTTATAACCATACGAACATAGGTTTAGTCACACGGAATTTTTATTGCTGGCCGCCACGAAACGCTGCCTAGATTGTTTTCAATACATTGACATTATTACGCGGGTAATTGGACAAAGATTGTTGTTTTTTTTTAACTAATAAAAATAATACTGATTTCACATCTATTTTCCTATCTGTTTAGGACCAACTATTTTTGTGTGTGTCTATCGATTTATTATCTTAATATATATCAGTCTACTCTTGAAATGTAAAAATATATTATTGTTTGTCCGAGATTTTGAACCCAGGTCAAGTTAAACATAATGCTAGCCAACACGTTTAACCATAAATCTAGGGTTACGATAAAAAACTTGTTTGAATTATCCAAATAAATATAAGGTACAATGTTACTTTGATATAATTAGAAGTTAAAGCTATATTATCGCAATGTACTTTAAGTATGGACAGGTAATTCAATTCGATGAATGCTCGAGTATTGTTAAGTCGGTCAATAGTTGATCTGCGTATTTGTTGTCGCTATTCGCAGATACTTACGCGTTACTCAAAATGCATATGAGCTTGTAGTAATTGTGTGTCTGTGTGATCAATCAGTCTGTGGTACACGCTCCTTCAAAAAATATTTCTACTAAACTATATATCTAGTCAAATCAGCTCCTAACATAAAACATGTACGCGTCAAATTTTATATCACGTTTGATTTACAAACGGAAAACTTTAATAAAATTTAATTGAACCGGTGAAAATAAAACGCTACGTAGAGACAAATTTTGTAATATGATGAATGTTCCGAAGTCCCAAAATAAATAAATGGAACGATTTGCGGGTGTCAAAATATTCTATGAAATCAAAACTTGTTTATAAAAAATCCAATTTGCGCTAGTCACACCCACTGGCCACGTGATTAGGGTTGCCAACCCTTGTTTTATTGTAGACCTATTTATTAAACTATGAATTCGCATCTTTAATATTAAAATTCTAAATAATTTGAAAAGATAATGAAGTGTTTATACTTATAAGTTTAACTCATCTTTATCTATTAGTAATCATTCTTTTTATTTACTATTTCAAATCAACATTACAATAAATATACTTAAGAAACGGAAAATGAGAGCAACAGCACGGAACGCTGACGATGCCGGTTCAAGTCCTCCCCGAGTCGAAAATTTTTTTCAATTTATTTTCGATTTTTAAACGGAAAATATTGATATAAAAGTATTTTTCATTGACATTATTTAAATTTAATTATAACCTCGACCTGGCAACCCTAGGCAAGCCGCATTAGTGCGGGAAGTGGGTAGGTATTACAAAAAACCCTTTTAATCGTACACCGACCGTGGCACAGATATCGCTCAGCCCACGTCTTGGCGCTCTGACAGCCCTCTTTGAAAACTTTAAAAATAATTCTTGCATACCTGTGTAAGTGTAATAGCACCCGGATCGACGATACGTTCTGATTAATTTGTTTTCAACTTCCTTGCCAAAGTTCCAGTTAAAGATTTCTTTTTAACGCGCTTATGCCAACATTAAGAAATCAAAATAAAAAAATTCGATGCTAGCAGCCCTGAAATGTGCCTTTAGCGGTACTTGGTTGAAGTTAAGACCATGATAAATAATAATCTGCCAAACATTCGACATTCGAAACGTGGAGATACCATAAGTATAATCTGAATTCGAGTTTTAAATTTAAATTTCTGGAAAGAGTTCTGATGTTGGTAACGATAATCGGCTCGGATTCGGGACTGAGAATGTCGTAATATCTCATTAAAGACATCAACAGTTCGCCCATAGCGTCCCATCATCATATGTTCTCAGGCGATAATGACCCTTTACAATTATAGTTAAGAGTTATTATCGCCTGCGAGGACTGGCAGTTGTGTTGTTTACAGTATGATGGGACGCCTGATCCGAATTTGGATATTGAAAGAGTTACGATGTCCAACTTTGTCACTGTCTGAGACACGACGGAGATTATCGGAATTTCGTATTTATAGTTTAATTCTTTGTTCTCGACCTTATGACAAATTAAGTTATTTTTAACGGAACTATCGAAAGTCGTGATTTTATCTACACCTATCTTGGACACGGTAACATTCATAAAAGTTAAATTTTGTATTTAAAAAAATCCCTGTTTTCAAAGAGAGTTATTAGATGTATCCTAATTTAACATATAGACGTTATTTCATAAAATTCTAAACCCACGTCGTGTGTATGCATTGTATTTTCGTGTAAATTATAAAAAGTTGTCGATTAGGAAGTTAGGACCCAAGAACATAATTAGCTGTCAACGGCTGCAGTGTTTCCGTTTCCGGCGCTCCGTTCTATTTTCAAATCGGCTAAGGCGATTCGTCCTTTTTTCTAATAGACAACACCTGCCGTTTTATTACGTTTCGCCTAGTCTTAAAATTTCGTTAGAGTTTTTATAGCACTATGTTAATTTTTAAGTTAATTATGCCTATGAAATTTATGGTGTTTTAGGATTAATATGCCAGCGGGGTCAGATTTAATTACTTAGAGCCTAAAAGTTTATAGATAGTCAATATAACATGTGCTAATATGAGATAAAGGTGCTAAACTATGAAATCTCATAAGTAAATATTAAAACTCCTTTTATTTTGTCACAGCATATATAGATCCGAATACATATATATAGCTTTCTATGCTTTGTACATATTCTATCGTTAATTCTATTATATAATAGAAACTTTCTAGTAACAAAAACTTTAAAACCAAACTTCATGCCATCTTTGACGTTACCGTAGTCGCCTGGTGCTTTTTCAGCTAGGTTTTTTTACAGTTGTGCGTAAAACGAGTCGGTCGCTCGGTTCCAAATGTATTCCCTTTGTTTCTATTGTTGTGTTTTTGTTTAGGCATTGTATACCAACATTAGTTTAAAGGTCGTATTTTGACGTTTGTACGTTCAAGTGGTGTCGCTGAACTTTCCGGCACAGTTTGAAACAGCCAGTCGGTATACAGAGCCTGCAGTGACGCATATTGTCTGCGCTTGAGTCATTTAAATGGAATGGCAACATCACTATAATTTTAACTTTTCTGTTTCTATTTCATCCAATTAAAAAAAATTAAGCTAAACAAAGATCGGATTTATATTTGCAGTTAGTTTCAGTTATTAATAAATTGTTTGCTATAGTGCATGTAGACAAAATATTTCATACAGATTAGATAATTGTAAGCAGAGGTTCTGGCAATATATACTATTACATGACATTAATAGTCCCATTAGAAGTATTTATGGCACCAAGCTCCATACCAACATGGACCGTATCTAACGGCGATGCGTCTGCGCAGGTGCACGAGCTCTGTGACAACTTCTGCCACCGCTACATCAGCTGTCTGAAGGGCAAGATGCCCATTGACCTGGTGATCGACGAGCGAGAGTCCGCTCGTCCACCCGACGCGAACGGCGAGCCCCGCTCCGCGCCAGACAGCAGCCACGACGGAGCATCGACCCCAGACGTCGTGAGTACCCCCTATAGCAAAACCCATCTGATTCAGAGGCGCGATCCCCAGCTAGCACCCAACTCGACAACGAGTTATCTCGTGCACCCCTGTTCTTAGTTTGGCCATTGCAAAAACGAAGTCTATAGAGGGGTGCTCGCATTTTAGTTTTTCCCGCCTCCCTCGCTTGTAAACGGACCTTCCGAGGGCTTCCCACGAAGCCTAAGGAATTTCCGCTAGATTAAGTTAAAAAATCTTCGTTTTTGCAATTGGCCAACCCTTTGACACTGTAAAGTTTAAATTTGAAAGAATAACTGAATTTCCTTTTTCAAAAAAGTTCCAATTGACAGTGAAGGGGTGTTTGGGTGCGAACGCACCGGGCGATTCGCTCGAGTCGCCCGGCGTTTACTTGCCGATCTCGTCCTACGACGATGCGCCGATCGGTTTTATTTTGCGCTGCATTATGTATACGATTTGACTAAAACATACGTATAACGTTGATTGTAATATGTGTATACTAATAATTGTTAGTGAATAAACAGCATTAAGTCTTCTATCTCTCCTCTCTACTTGGGAGCCGTTAAATCTTTTAGCGACTATTACATACTGAGCTTAGTTTAAATTAATTAGGATATTTGGAGAACTATTTGAAAACGAAGTATACGTAAAAACACAACTTTAACTTGCCTAAGTGAGATAAGTTTTAATTAGGAGTTTTAAATTATTGTCATTGATTTTAAAGGTGGTAGCTGCTAATCCTTTTGGCTAGTAATACATACAATATACGTAAATAGTTAATAATTTGCGTTACTAACGAAGAAGCACTTAAAAATAGAGGAATAGTTAGTTAAATGGATATACGTATTCAGTATACGCTAGGTGTAATTAGCTCCGATATGAATCGATTGCCATTTACGCGTTAGTAATCGATAGGTATCTATTGCGACTATCGATTGTAAATACGAGCGATTATCATAATCGGACATTATATAATTGTATATGTATGTGCGTTAGAAGTAGGTGCTTCGGTATTAAAGTCATTCTGTTCCGCGAAAGAGAGTGAGAAGGATTGAAATTGTTTGCTGTATTTTTGTACATTACATAGCCTATTTTGAAACACGATTGAACAGTTTTAAATCGGATCGACAACGATTTAACCGACCAATTCTGTGATGTCTCTATAGTCTGTGGCGCGAGGTGACGTTAGACAGTTGTGTAGTGACATTGACAGGATTGGTCGGAGTCGCATTTTGTTTAATGCTAAGATATTTTTGGGCGTTGAGACTGATTGTTTTGTTTGTGTTATATATTATTTGTCAGTTTGTTAACAGCCATAACTTATACAGTTCTTATTCTGGTTGGTTCGGGAGTAGTGATAGTTATTTTGTCTGTATATGAGTTTTAACATATTATGTAGTTGATTGTCTAAGTTAGGTTCTAGATTATAACGCGGTAGATGTTCTGAATTTTCTCATCTAAATCTAACTCGTAATGTATATTATTGCTATTTGGTGTACGTCCATCTTGTATGTCAATGTGATTTAATTTTATATTATTTTTCTGAACGGATTAAACAATAAAATGTTCTGTTTGAAATATCCGTGAATTTTATTTACAACACAGCGGAACATATTCAAGTCATAATTCGAGAAATTAAGAGAAACTAATCACCAATCAAATCCAGAAATTAACATTTAGATAATGTCTATCTATGTCAATCTTGAAACATATCTAGAAACGCAAAACAAACAATAAATATGTTCAGTATTAAGTAGTATCTACTTTATAAAACGTCAAAACCTAATTTTCTAAGCGGAAGAAAGAGATTTACAAAGTTACGTGAAAATCAATACATACAAAAATAAACTTGTTAACTGTTTCAAAGCAGCGAGGTTTTAAAGGGAATATTTAAGGGAAAATATTGTATTTTTATCATGTACCGGGGATAAGCCGCTCCCCTGGCGGCGAGCGTTGGAAAATTGTTTCTTTACAACCCCCTGTACGATTATCTTTTGTGGCATTCGGAGCTAGGGCGCGAACGCACTGCTGGAAATCTCGGATTAGAACAGATGAGCGATTGTGGAAATCAATAACCTGCCATCAAGACGGTAATTACTTGAAGATTGGATTAGAAAAGAAATTGACAGGCAAATCACTCGTCAACATTGTGAAACTATGATCAACAGAAATTCGAGAAAAAGATATATGATATTTAAGATTAAAATAACATTTTAATTTCTGCCCAATAAACAAAATCAAAGAACCATTAGGTATCTGTATCGTGTCACTTACACGCCGGTAGTGCGAAAGTAGGACATCTCGTAACAGCAAGGATTCTTTTCACGAGCGGTTTTCATGCGACAATCTGATATTTTATTTATTCTTTATAGTCTGCCATTGACATTTGATGGATGCCAATTGCCATGGAGCCCTGCTGAGGAAATGGGGGTGACGATAATTGGTAGAAATTCTTAAGGCTTTCATTATTTCGCGGGAGTTTTGGCAGGTGTTAGCTGTCAAAGCAGTAGGACCGTAATTCGCTGAAATCAGTTAATTAAATATCCAGAAAAGGCTATCGTATAAACTAAACGTAGTGTATCCAAATAGAAGCAGAGATCGGTTCTAGACTCCTTATTGTGTTTTGTTGACTTTATCTAAGTTAAATAGTTATTCTTTCAGAATATAAAGACGCTTTTGTGTCCCACGCACAACTACGGGTAATTTAAGTAAGAAGCAGATAATACAAGTTCAACATTTTAGTTAACAGAAAAAATAGAAAAATGTCCTGCAATTTTTATAAAAGAACAGCGCTACACACAATGAATAATTTAAGAGCATTGGGGTATGAGCAATAAGAAAAATAATAAAAATAAGGGGACAAAGACGGGATTTGATCCCGGATAGAGCGCAATTCGTCACGGATTCGTCACGGTGTCGACAATACTCTTGGGTTACCAGTTATACTTTCCTGGTATTAGTCCAAAATAAGGGATTTTATTGTGTCCTTATTCTTCTACGCTGTTTTTGTCTTCTTTGTTTCATCTCTGTACGTAGTAATATTTATCTAAAAGTCATCAATTAATTCCAAAGAATTCTCTTTCTCACAAATCCTCTCATTATAATTCCTTGTCATTGTAGGGTGATAAAAAGTAAAGTACCTACATATATTTTCATACGTATATTAAACAAAGAGCAGAAATCTCATTGGTTATGTACAAGCGTTGCGAAGTCGGACCTGCGTGTACGCATATATCAGACTGTCAGTCTGTCTGTCTGTCCTGACTGCTTTATTACGTAGTATTTCTCGCCAACTTTACATTTGATTGTTACATAAATTACCTTAATTAAGACGTTAAATTTGTTGAATTTTAATTGTCGATACCTTTTATCAGATCTTGTCGCATGAAATAGTAAGGGGGGGCGGGGTTGCGTTTCTCATGTTTTTTTAACTTTCTCTTTTAATAATAATATATTATTATAATTATTTGCAATCTACGCCTCTATCCTATACTCCCTGACGTTTGCTTAGTAAACCTACATAATTACTATATATCTTTTAATACGTAAAAATGCTTATATGCAAACATCAACAAACCGATAATTCGATTGCGTTTTGGCGGCAAAACGAAGACGCCGCCCGCTCGTAAACCGCTGCTTTTAAATTTCGAACGGTCGGCCATTGGTTACCCGGTCGCCAATCTCGTTGAAACAAATTTTACGACAACGCTGGCCACACCGAGCCGTATTTACGACTCCTGAGAATCGCAAATAATTCTATTAATAAATTAGCCGTAAATGCCGCGTAATTTATTGTCATGGCGTTCTCTCTAATTATTATTTCCTTTATTAGAAATATTTGTTATTACCGCTTTTACAGGCTAAATCTGCTTAGGTGATATATTTAGCAATAAATGCTGTACTTGAGACAAAGACCCATTTCTCAGGTCTTTACTTAATTACCTAGTGATTTAAACGCGCACTTTTATTAAACAAAATTAATTTTGATATGTCAGTGTATAAAAAGCGAAAAAACTCAGTGGTTAAACGCTCTAATGCCAAAGAAAGATTATAAACGACAGCATATTTCAGAATAACTAAAATAAACATCCATAATAACATAATCGAGAAAATAAAAACGTCGCAATATATCTCACAATTGAAGGTATAAAGGCGGTTGAAAATTTTCTACGTCGCAACAAAGGATACAATTATATCGGGAATAGAACCCGCTGCGTTCCATTTCACGAAGCACGCGCTATCTGCAGGTGGTCCACGTCTTTATTAGTCTGAAATTGATTGAAATCTCTGAAAATAAATATTTCTTGTATAACGCGTTTAATGGTAGCTTAGTTTTGTCTAGCAATATACGACTTAGGATTAATGAAAACACCTGTTTACTATCTTCATGGCTCAATGATTAGACACGTTACCAAGCAATGCAGTATTGAGAGATTTTTGGTTTTAAGACTAGGAGAAACATTTTTTTTATACAGGTTACATCAGTCATAACAGCTACTTGATTAAAAGCAATGATTTAGGTAACTTAGGCTAACATGTAGCTCAGGACTAGGACTACAATTAGGATTTTAAAGCGCTTTTGATAAAACTGTAAAACTTAGCCGATATAAAGAGTATTTATAATACAAAATTGTGGATGAGTCAAGGATGCTAAATTTGCAGTTACTAAAATGTCCCTCATATAGATTGTGTTACAAAACAATATTTCTAAAACATGTCAATGTATTTGTAAATAAAGATTGGGTTTTAGTCTCTTTCGAAGGATTACATCATGTAAAACGGGCGTACATTATGTAAGTTTACTTAGATTTTGATATTATTTGTCTTCTTTGAAATACATACGCGAGGAGCAGACTTCATTTAAATATAGATAAATTGGATCGTTGATAACATTTCCTATGCCCCCCTAATAGATTCTATGTCGTCATACCTACAATAACAAGTATTTCTACGTCATGTCTCGGAAGTGACGCAGGGTGGTCCTGAGCGGAAATCTCTGGTCT